GAGGAGGAGGAGGAGGAGGAGGAGGAGGAGGAGGAGGAAGAAGAAGAAGAAGAAGAAGAAGAAGAAGAAGAAGAAGAAGAAGAAGAAGAAGAAGAAGAAGTAGTAGTAGTCAGTGTGAGTTCAGCCCATACTTAGAGAAGAGGACATTGTAGAGCAGGAATGCCAAGAGGCAGGGTCACAGTCATTATGGCTATTGGAGAAGCTGCTGGCTACACTACAAATTACGCAATATTATTTGTAATAATAATAACTTATAAGGCCTAAAATTTGTTCTGGGCTGGAGACAGTGCTCAGTAGTTAAGAATACTGACTTGGCTGTGTATGGTGACACATACATCTAATTCTAGTACTTGGAAGGCACAGGCAGGTAGATCTCTGTAAGTTAGAAGCTAGCCAGTTCTACATAGTGAGTTCCAGGGCAGCCAGGCTATGTAAGGAGAACCTGTCTCAGAAAACAAAACAAAACAAAAGCTTACTGATCCTGTAGAGGACCCAAGTTCAGTTCTTAACATCCACGTGAAATAATAACCAATTCCAGAGGAATCTGATTCTGGCCTCTATAAACACCTGTATTCACACGCACAACCCCGTCCCCATACACACACTCAAAATTAAAAATAATAAAAGTATCTGGGTATGGTAGCACCTACCTTTAATCCCAGCACTCAGGAGACAAGAGGTCAACACATATTTCTGAGTTCAAGGCCCAGCCTGGTCTACAAAGCAAGTTCCAGGACAGTAAGGACTTCACAATGTGACCCTATTTAAAAACAGAAACAAAAACAAGAAAACATAAAAATCTAAAAATTTTTTCATGTTTATTACTTAAACTTCTTTTTGCTTTTTTAAAGTGATTTTATGAAGGGGCAGCCCATCCCACAGTGTGTATGTAGAGGTCAAAGGGCAGCTTTCATGAGTTGGTGCTCTCCTCCTACCACATGGAGATGGAACTCAGGTCATTAGTCTTGGCGGGAGGCACCCTTACCCACTGAGCCATCTCACCAGCTTCATGTTTGATACTTAAACTACCCCAAAATATACAGAAACATCTCTCTCAACCCTCCCTTTGGCCACTCATTACTCAAGAGGCAGTTGGTACCAGCTGGTGTTCAGTGCCTATGCTGACAGATGGAAATTACTGGTACCTTTTCTAGGCAATAGTAGTGTGCAGTATAGTACACACCTCCTGTCTTGAGGGAGCTTCTGTATCAGCCCATAATTTTTGCCTGTAATCCCATCCTTCAGGAGGCAGAGGCAAGAGGATCAGGAGTTCAGAGTTATTTTTCGCAACCTTGGAACTTTGGGAGACTTCCTGGGCTTTGTGAGACCCTTTAAAAACAACAGCAAAAATTCTATGTGGAAATGCTTTATGTTACTCTGTTTCCTATTAATGAATCTTTATATCTTTTAGGCTTTGTTTTAAAAGGGGGAGTTATGATGAGTGTGGTGGTTTAAATAAAAGTGAATGGTGCCCATAGGTTTGTGTGGTTTGAATACTTGGTCCCCACTGGTAGAACTATTAAAGAAGGACTAGGAAGTGTGACCTTATTGGAGGAGTTGTGTCACTAGGGGTGGGCCTTGAGCTTTCAAAAGACTCTAGTCAGTATGCTCTCTCTGCTTCCTGCTTGCTAAGATGTGAATTCTCAGCTGTTCCTGCTGCCAGGCCTCTGCTCCACCATAATGGATTCTAACCCTCTGAAACCATGATTCTAATTGAATGCTTTCTTTTATAAGTTGCCTCAGTCATGGTGTTTTGTCACAGCAATAGGACAGCAACCAGTACAGTGAGGGAACATTGAGATACATCCTTTGCATCTGTGATATGTATAGTGTGTAGTTTATTTGCTGTCATAAAACACCCTGACAAAAGAAACGTAAGAAAGGAAGGCTTCCTTCTGGCTCACAGTTGAAGGTACAGCCCATCATGGTAAGGAAGTCAAGGCAGCAGGGGCTTGAAGCAGCTGCTCACATTATGTCCATAGTCAGCATGAAGAAAATGAGTAATGCTGATGCTCAGCTCCTTTTCTTCATTTTTAATTTTTATTTGTGGCGGGGGATTGGTTTTTTGTTTTGTTTTTGTTGTTGTTGATTTTTGAGACAGGGTTTCTTCTTGTAGACCTGGCTGTTTTGGAACTCACTCTGTAGACCAGGCTGGCCTTGAACTCTCAGAGATCCTCCTGTCTTTGCCCCCAGAGTGCTGGGATTAAAGACATGCACCACCATAACCAGCTGTTTGTTTTCATTGTAAACAGACTATAGTCCATTAGTACGAAGAATTGTTTTTAGTTGTGGTCACATGGTATCATGGGATCTATGAGACATCATTTGAAAAGTTAGATGTATCAAGAACTGAGTTTGCAATCTTCACATTTGTATTAGGTAGGACACTATTGTATATAATTTAAAAAGTTAAAAGTGACAGACCGAGGCCAGTGAATTGGCTCAGTGGGTGAAGTTGTTTACTGCATATGCCTAGAGACCTGAGTTTTAGCCTTAGAACTCATGTGAAAGGTGGAAGGAGAGAACTGACTCCATAATGCTGTCCTCTGACTTCCACCCATGCACCATGGCATGTGCACTTCATGCACACACACATCATCATCATAATAATAATAATAATAATAATAATAATAATAATAAATTTTTAAAAACCTTTTTGTTTTTGTTTTCAAGACAGGGTTTCCCTATGTAGCTCTGGCTATCCTGGAACAAGCTCTGTAGACCAGGCTGTCCTTGAACTCGGAGACCAACCTGCTTCTGCCTCTTTAGTGCTGGCATTAAAGGTGTGTTCCACCATGTTCAGCTAGAACTAGGGGACTGGGGAGTTGGCTTAGTAGTTAGGAACTCATACTACTTTGCACAGGACCAGAATTTAGTTCTCAACTCCCACATTAGGCAGCTCACCAGTACCAGATGCTCCAGGGGCATCCAACAGTTCTGGCTTCCACAGGTGCTGTGCTCATGTGCACATACATACACATAATTTTTTAAGAAGTGATCAACCAAAAAAAGAAAGTTAAAAGATAAAATAAATTTTTAAAATGACAGGAACAACAGCTCCCTGTACTTTTTCTAGTAGAAGAATTAGCTGGGCTTATGGTTACCCTGTAGATTCTTACTTAGCAGGTCTAAAGTTGAGGTCTGAATTTCTCAGGAGTTCCCAAGTGAAGCTGGTGCTGGTAGTCTACACACCTACTTTGAGTAAGGAGGATGTGAGCACACAGACCTTATGTTTGTATCTTGTGGAAATCTGGTGGTGGATGACTCCATGCTAACAGGAGTAGCCTTGAGATAACAGAGCTCTGTGGTGACCTCTGACTATTACCCTGCCTGCTGACAGCCTTGCCATCTCTCTCTTAATTGTATGTGGGGTTAACAGTTCCAACATGGCTTCTCAGAGGGTGGCATCCACAGAGTACTCCTGGGAGGTATAAAAGGAGGGTTTTCCCCCTCTTACAGGTATGTCTTAACCTTGTTGGAGAGAGATATCTTTCCCAGGATTGTAGCCCTTCCTTACCCACCAAGTGTTGTTTTCTTTGATTCTCAGTGAATAGAATGGGTTTACATTCCTACCTGGACTGATCACTGGCACCAGGTCATGAGATTGTAACATGGTCTATACTTTCTGTAAGCCTACTTTTGATCTAAGCATTTTTCCATGTCCTCCTTAGCAAAGGAGAAGGGACAATGACTAATAGGTCAGCAAACATTTGTGTCTGCTAAACTGTGTTATCCGACACAACTTTTTTTAAATCCATTCTAGATCGAAGGAACCCCTTCAAGAGGTTAATGAGTTGCCCAAGGTCATAAGCTACCAGAAACCAAAGGTGAGGGTTGGGGTTATAGTTCAGTTGGTAGAGTACTTAGTAGCATGCCCGGGGCCTTGAGTAAAATCCCCAGCATTGCAAGTAAAAACCAGAACTTGAGAGACAAGTGGGATAGCTGCCCATTGATACTTAACTACTCTATTGCTCTGTCTCCCACCAGGTATGACAATCGGTGCCGGAACTTGAGTCAGGCACAGGTGGCCCAGAAGCTGGCCATGGACCCCAAGCCTGCTATCCGCTTCCGCCTGGAGGAGGCAGCACCAGCCTTCCAGGACCTTGTCTATGGCTGGACTCAGCATGAAGTGGCCAGTGTGGAGGGGGATCCAATTATCCTGAAGAGTGATGGCTTCCCCACCTACCACCTAGCCTGTGTGGTGGATGACCACCACATGAGCATCAGCCATGTGCTGCGAGGCTCTGAGTGGCTCGTCTCCACCTCCAAGCACCTGCTTCTCTACCAGGCCCTGGGCTGGCATCCACCTCAGTTTGCTCATCTGCCCCTGCTCCTCAACAGGGATGGTAGCAAGCTGTCTAAAAGGCAAGGGGACATTTTCCTGGAACACTTTGCTGCCGCTGGTTTTCTGCCTGAAGCCTTGCTTGACATCATCACCAACTGTGGTTCGGGGTTTGCAGGTACATATGCAGTGTGGTCATGGTGGCTGAACTTGAGCTTTAACACAGGCAGATGTGCTTGTCAGTCCCAGCATTGGCATCTGTCAGTCACGTGATCTTGGACAAGTTCATTATTCTAGTCAGTGGAGTTTACTGAGTCACACACGCTACTGTGTTCCCTCACTTGGTTTTCCCACACAGCTTTGTGGTTGATGGAGTGGGACTCACAGTAGGCACTGTCCCTGCCCTCAAAGACCTAGAGTCTCATTAACCTTGTCCATATGATAAGACTAAGGATATGCCCAGTAGGGTTAATTAGGAGCCAGCGAGCTTATAAATATAAGGAACCAGCTCACTGTCTTTCCACACCATAAGCACAAAAGCCACAGACCTTATGATTACTGTAATTCTACAAGTATGAGCTCTAACAGTATTACTGGTGTTACTGTGAATCTAGCTTATTCAAGGTTTAGAACACAAACTTTGAAGAAGTGAGTACCAAATGGGATGACTTCTTGTGGCAGTAACTTGATAATCCTGGTTTCTAAGGTGATTTCGAGGCTCAAGGAGGTTGTAACTTGCCAGAGTCATAGCCTTAGTAAAGGATGTAGTTCTTAAGGCCAGTACCTGACCATGGTGCCTTCTGCACCAAAGGGAGCTGCTGCTCATAAAGAAACTGCTTCCAGGGGACTGGAGAGATGTCTCAGCAGCTAAAAGCTCTTGCTGGTATGAGTACTGTTCCCAGAACTTCTGTCAGATGGCTCACAACTGCCAAAGGGTCCAACACCCTCTTCTGGCCTCTGTGGATGGGTTTGTAGCACACACACACACCCCTACACACACACTCATAAATTAAAAATAAGAGAAAAACAATAAAAAAGAAATAGCTTTCAGTCTGGATATGGTGTTACATACTTGGAATCCCAACACTAGAGAAGCTGAAGCAGGAGGATTGCTAGTTTGATGTTGGTCTGGACTATATAACACCAAAGTCCTTTCTCGGATGAACCAGAAAAGCAGCAGCTTCCAGCACTGAGGTCCCACTGTGGCATTAAATATGAAGTTTGTTGGGTGTGCAGGTGCCAGACTCTGCTCAGCCAAGCACACTAGAAGCTCTGGAGTAGCCAGACAGTGGGCACACTGTTCTTGTGGCCTTCATCTAAATGTGGGGAGCCTACAGCTTGCTCAGTTGCTCTTCTTTGTGTGTGAAACTGGGAGAAAAGCAGGGTGGTATAACCAACGTATATTCCAGCTATGTAGGAAACTGAGGCAGGAGGATCAAAATCTGTAGGCCAGCCTGGGCAATGCAGAAAGAAAGATAAAAGGAAGAACAGAAATGAGATGAGAGAGGGGCTGAGCAGCTGAGTGGGCCTGACTTGCAGAGAACCAAATGGGCAGGACCCTGCCGGAGCTGATAACACAGTTTGACCTGACTCGGATCACCTGTCACTCAGCCCTTCTGGACCTGGAGAAGCTCCCAGAATTCAATAGGTAAGTGGGAGAGCAAAGCACTATGGTGCATACCTGTAATCCCAGCAATTGGAAAGTTGAGACAGGAGAATTGTAAATTCTAGGCCAGATTAGGTTACATAGTGGCCTCAAACTATGGAGCCAATTAATGACCGTGAATCTTGATCCTCTTGCCTCCACCTCCCAAGTGCCCAAATTACAGGAGTGTGCCAGCACACTGACTCACCTGCAGTTGTTTAAGTATATGACTTTGTCAGTTCTGTAATTTTTTTTTTTAAAGATTTATTTATTTTGTATACAGTGTTCTGCCTGCAGGCCAGAAGAGGGTGCCAGTTCTCATTACAGATGGTTGGGAGCCACCATGTGGTTGCTGGGAATTGAACTCAGGACCTCTGGAAGAACAGCCAGTGCTCTTAACTGCTGAGCCATCTCTTAAAAAAAAAAAAAAAAAAGTCAGTTCTGTAATTTTGCTGTGTGTTAGCTATATGGGATCCAAGACAGAATTTAAATGACTATAGCACATTTACACGGTGGGCAGTGAGGCATCTCTTGCATGGGTCTTGCAGGAGTGAATGTAATCTAGCATGTCAGATGCAGTACAACTACCTTTATTCCACAGAAGTGCTATTTCAGGGGGAAGTAGAGTCTGGTCAGAGATACTCTGTGATACCTCCCAAGGTTCCTTGAAATCCAGAGGTCAGCAAAAAGAAAGGGGGCAGGGGGAGTACCTTAGGACTGACGCCCACAGACTGAATCTAGTCAAGCTGAATTATCCTCAGATGTTTCCATCACCGTGCCACTGCCATCCTTACTTCAGACACAAATATATTAGTGTCCCAGCAGCAGTAGCAGTAAATACTGGTAGTATAGGAAAATGGGAATAGTAATTAAGATTCATTTAGCTTGACTGTGTTCCAGGCTTGGACTTGTGGTATATCAATTTAGCATGGCCAGGAGGGTCTTTTGGGTTGTTTTTTTCCTTCTTTCTATCTGGCCTTGATGCTAAGGAGATTTTTTTTTTTTTTTTTTCGAGACAGGGTTTCTTTGTGTAGCTTTGCGCCTTTCCTGGAACTCACTTGGTAGCCCAGGCTGGCCTTGAACTCACAGAGATCCGCCTGCCTCTGCCTCCCGAGTGCTGGGACTAAAGGCGTGTGCCACCATCGCCCAGCCTGCTAAGGAGATTCTATAGTTTCTGTACTACAGTCATATGTTTACTGTAATACTCATTTAAAAATATTTTTTCAACCAAATTACACATGCCTATAATCCCAGCACTCAGGGGGTTGAGGTGGGAAGATGGAGAGTTCTAGGCCAGCCTGCCTACATAGAACCTGTCTCAAACACCGAAAACAAAGCAAAAAGTTTTTTGCCAGTCTACATTCCAGATGGCCTCCCATAATGCCTTTTCATCCTGTGACCTATCAGGAGCCTCAACTCCTGCAGGTCTGCAGCTCCCAAATGGGTGGCTTCCAGGCCCTGGCATCCGTACTTTGAATGTATACTCCTATTTAGTCCTCACTACTACCCTATCTGTGCCAAGGCTCCCCAGCTTTCCAACGGCTGCATGAGTTACTGCAAACACTTGGCAGACAGGCTTTAGAATCAGGACTGTCCCAGCGCCAACCCCATGAGCTGTTTCCCACTTGACTACCTGGCTTTCTTCTGTAACACAGACAGAGGGCCACAGGACTTCGAATGGTCCCTGGTTCTGCACTGCTCTGAGTCTTCTTGGCCCTCCCAATCCTGTCAGAAAGAGACAAAGGACAGCCTGGGGACTGAAGGTGGCAGGGCTTGGTATTAGGGTTGGACTCTGGAGGCTCTACTATTTGTTCACAGGGGGACAATCAGGGAGTTAGGATTCCAGAAAAGAGAGAAATTTGAACTGACAAGAAAGCCCCAGCTTTGAGGCTGAGTGCTTCATTGAAACAACCCGCTGTTCCAAATCCTAGGAATACATTTTCTTATCTCTCGGTTTATATCAGCACATTCCTGGATCCATCTGGGTAAATTCAGGTGCCTGTGGTGGTCAGGTGACAGTGTAAAGAGGGAGGGGCTGGCAAGACACCAAGGAGGAAAGGGCCAGGGCAGCTGGAAGACTGGAGTCTGAGCCCACAGCATGGATCCAGCCTACGCCAGCCAGTTAAGGCTGTGGCCAGGGCATTCCACAGGGAGAGCCAGAATGTTCCTTATGGTGATCTAGCTTAAAAGAGTTTCTTTGCTGGCTGCGGCTCAGTTTTAGAATGCTTTCTTAGCATGCATGAGGCCCCGAGTTTGCTTCCTACAACCTCAAAAGTAACAGGAAAAGGTCAGCTACTAATTTTTAAAATACAGAAAATGCATGGTGTGGTGTTACACACCTTTAATCTGCACTTGGGGAGCAGAAGCAGGTGGATCTCTGTAATTTTGAGGCCAGCTGGGTCTACATAGTGAGTTCCAGGCCAGCTAGGGATATATAGGGAAACCTTGTCTCAAAAAATAAATAAACGAATAAATAAATGAAAACAAATCATGTCTGCCTAGATAGACTTAGGCTGGCTGTGACCTCCATCAAATCCTGCTCCTTTTACATATACAAAAAAATATGTTTTACTTACGGGTTTTGAAGATGTGACAGTCTTCAGTCCCTACTGCTACCCTGAGGGGAGAGGTTTGGCATAGTCCTGGGGGTCCAGTGCCAGGGCATCCCCTTTTTTTTCCTCTCAGGCTGCACCTCCAGCAGCTGGTGAGCAGTGAGACCCAGAGGCCCCAGTTGGTGGAGAAGCTGCAGGCCCTGGTAAAGGAGGCATTTGGGAACCAACTGCACGACAAGGATGTTCTGGACCCCGAATATGTGGAGAGGATCATCCTGCTGCGACAGGTGTGGTTTTAGGGCTTCTTTCCCTCCAGTGTTTCCCAAGCTCTCCCAGTGCATGTGGTGACTGCCTCTCTCCCCAGGGCCACATCAGCCGCCTACAGGATCTGGTCTCCCCAGTGTACTCCTACTTATGGACCCGCCCTGCTGTCCATCGCGCACAGCTGGGCATTGAGTCGGAAAAGGTGGACGTGATTATCAAACGCTTGCTGGGGTAAGTGTTCACACACCTGGCCACAGGCTAGACACACCCTTCCCACTCTTTGGGCTTCTCTACACCGGACCTTTGGCTCCCGGACCCCATCACAAAACTGTGACAAACTAAAAAAATGCTTTCTCAGGTAAGGACAGCAACCCTGAAGGTCCAGGTGTCTTGCTCTTAGAGCCTCCTTTTCCTTAGCTGTGTGTAGGGGAGAGAGGACCTGTCTTACTGTAGCAATAACAAGATTTTTGTCAGATAAAATTTTTAAATATGTATTTAGTTTTATTTTACGTGTCTGAGTGTTTTGCCTGCATGTATGCTGAGCACCATTTTCATGTCTAGTATATTATTAATATACTGAAACTTTTTAAACCTAGACTTTAAACCTGGGTATTGAAAGCTAGACATGATGGTGTCGATTATGCCTTGGTGCATTCTTCTATCTGCCTAGTTCTTCTCATAGTTGTAATTCTTATTTTCCATTTTTGCCCAAAAGGTACAGTACAGGGATAATGTTTGGGTGTTTATAGATATATTTTTCTGCTTTTTTTCTTTTTTCTTTTCTTTTTTTTACGAGATAGGTACTGTATCTTGCCCAGGCTAGTCCCAAACAGATGGAAAATGAGTTCCCTCTGTCTTTCCAGGAAGTTGAGACTGTAGGCATGGAATACTGTACCCAACAGTAATATGCCTAGATTTGTCCAATCCTTGAAAGTCTCCGGGTTGGGGATTTAGCTCAGTGGTAGAAGGCCCTGGGTTCGGTCCTCAGCTCTGGGGCGGGCGGGGGGGGGGGGGGGGGGGGGGGGGGGGGGGGGAGTCTCCTCATTCCTTTCTATAGCTAACTTTACTTGTAACACAACTTCAACAAGAACTTAATTCATCTGTTTATGTACATTAGGGTTGCTTCCAAATTTGACTTTTTAGAAATAACTATACAAAGCTGGGTGGTGGTGCATGCCTTTAATCCCAGCACTCGGGAGGCAGAGGCAGGTGGATTTCTGAGTTCAATGCCAGCCTGGTCTACAGAGGGAGTTCCAGGATAGGCTCCAAAAGCTACACAGAGAAACCCTGTCTCAAAAAAACCAAAAAAAAAAAAAAAAGAAAGAAAGAAAGAAAGAAAGAAAGAAAGAAAGAACTGTACAGTGACCAACCTTACATGAATATTACTAAGTATATTTGCAAGTCCACGCCCAATCTGTACCCAAGAGCTAATATTGTCAGTAATTTGGTACATTCCATAGTAGGGTCTTTATTCTTTTTTTCTTTTGTTTATTTATTGTTTGAGACAGGTTCTCACTATATAGCCTTGGTTTGTCTGGAACTCATGTATAGACCAGGCTGGCCTCAAACTTGTAGAGATCCACCTGTTTCTGCCATCATCCAAGTTCTGGTATTAAAGTACTGAATCCAGAATTTTTTTTCTTTTAATTTGCGTGGATATGTCCATGTGAATACAGTACCTGTGGAGGCTGGAGATAAATTGAGCCACCCATTGTGAATCAAGCTCAGGTCCTCTGAAAGAGCAGTATGCTCCGCCCCCCAGCTGAGGACCGGAACCCAGGGCCTTGCGCTTGCTAGACAAGCGCTCTACCACTGAGCTAAATCCCCAACCCAGAGCAGTATGTTTTTAACTGCTGAACCATCTCTCCAGCTATTAATTCCAGTTCACCAAGATGGTGTCTCAACTTCGTATCCTTGTCATAGGTTATCTTTTAGAGACACTGGGACTCCGACTCAAGTCAGGAAAGCTGACACCAAGTACCCAGGAGCCACCAGACCACTTTAGTGGTAGTGCCAAGCTCTCAGCCAGGCCTAACTTGTCCTAGTGTGTCATTAGCCGTTTCCTGGGGCCTGTCCTTCTGTTCCTTGGCAGCCTCCTTCCTTGAATGCAATGACATTGGGGAGTGTCCGTTTTCTCCCTATATTGCATTTTATATTTTTAGTATTTCCTCTCCTTGATTTTATAAACAGCATTGATCCTGTTCCATTTAATGATTGCCTTTTGTCCAGGAAGACTACTATGATAAAAATACCATAGACTTCTGTAAACAACAGACTCTTTTCTCCCAGTGCTGGAAGCTGGGGGCTCCAGATGAGTGCCAGCTGACTCAGGGGCAGGCAGTGGCCTTGTCTTCCTTGTTTTTTCATGTGCTCTGCTGCTGAAGTCTAGCAGTTGTTGAGGAAAGCTGTGTACAGAGAGGCTGTTTCTCCAAATCACTTAGAAGACCACTTCCTAAGTCAGTACTGCTCCACACTGAGCTGCCACTCAGCGCACCATGGTGTGGATCTCACCAGGAGCAGGGGTTCTGCTCACGCAGCGTTGGTACAGCACCTCTGTCCTATCATTTCAGAAGTTGGTTTGTTGTTGTTGTTGTTGTTGTTGGTGGTGGTGGTGGTGGTGGTGGTGGCGGCGGCGGCGGCGGTGGTGGTGGCGGTGGCGGTGGTGGCGTGCGTGCGCGCGCGCGCGCGTGCGTCCGTGCATGCGTGCGTG